AACGATAAAAAAACCAAGTCAAGTTAACAAAACAAGACGCGAAATTGAATGAAATTTATTTTTACTCGAAAACAAAAATCTAGGGTTGTTTACTTTTGCTTGCTGCTGTCTGCCGGCGGGCAACTTTTCAATTTTTCCCTGAAACTTGGATGAACGAAGACTTACTGAAATGACGACGCGATAGATATTTTCCAGACATCGCCGCCCGAATTATATTTTATATTGGTAAAATATTTATTTCATTAAATTTGGTAGAATTTAAATGTAATTCCAAATGATGAACCTTTGCTTCTTATAGCTAAAATACAGAAACTGCAAGTTTTATTTATTAGGCGTACAAAAAATTGCTATCAATTCAGAATAAGTACCGCACCAGAAGATGGAAAAAATCATTTAGGAACGTATGTAGTGCTTGTGCTTGTATTGTAAAAAATAAAATCATTACTGAATAAACCATACATTTTATGTTTAAGATTAAAAATGAAGCGAAATACCAATACTACCAACCTAATAATTTTATTGTATTTACTGAAATACTTAAAACTTCAAGACCTATTAATCTTAGGTTGAACCAATAGAGAGGTTACTATCTTCCTACGTTCTGCTTGTACAAGATGTTCTTCTACAATGAAATTTTGTGAAGGCCAATTCAAACGATTCATATAACCAGCCAGGTCCCTCCCACCACTTTGAAAGTAACAAATGTGTTGCTGAACATCCCCTCGTTATCAAATCTGCAGGATTTAATGTAGTGGGGACATGATACCAGGAATCCTTATTGGTTAATTTTCGTATCTCTTGTACTCGATTATGTACAAAGGGTTTCCATTTGTCGGTACCATTGATCTAGGCAAACACCATTGAGGAATCGGTCCAGAAATACGATTCATAATAGATGACCATAATCTAGATGCAATAATTGCCCCTAACAACTTTAAAAGTGGCACAGAATTATTCTTCTTAAGATGAGTAAATCTTCATTTTGATTGTACAAATCGAACAGTTATGTCAACATCGGACTCAACTTTCAAATTTCGTTTAGCCGAAATCTGTTATGCAAAAATTGTTGTCATGATAACAATTGTGAGGACTATAAGTCAACAAAAACCCCAATCTCATGGTGAGGAAATGCGTAGTTGCCAAGTTGTAGATGATTGCGGTTTTTGTTTAATTTCATTTAGCTGGAATCAGTTATGCAAAAAATGTTGCCATGGATACGCCATGTTACTGACTTAACAAGAACCCAAATCCAGCAGTGAGGAAATGCATAGTTGCCAAGGTATAGATCATTTAATTTTCACTTTAGTTTAGCCGAAATTAGTTATGGAGAAAATGTTACCATGAAAACGCTCGTCATGTCAAGGACTAAACAAAAACCCAAATCTTGTGGTGAGAAAATGCGTAGTTGCCAAATAGTGGTTAGTAGGTGGGTGGAACGAGCGTATCGTTATCTTATGATATAGGCGGAAAAAGGCCGGGCGCGCTCGCTTCGCTCGCTCTCATCTGTACTTGTTAGGAGGTGGGTGAGAGGAGCCTAGCGTGATCTTATGGAGAAACTGTTGCCATGGAAACGCTTGTCATGCTAACTTCTTGCCACTTATTTTCTCATTGTGGCGTGTTTTCAAGAATTCCAGGTATTTGATTACTTTTATCTTCGGATGTAACAAGGACGTCTTCTAACATGATAGGGACAGTTTCAGTACCTTGAATTTCCTTATCAGAATCATTCGAAGACGAGATTGTTGAAAGTGGTATTTTGAGGTTAGGGTTATGTTTGTTATTAGCCGGCACATAATATTCGTCGCTGTCTGTACCAATATACTCTTACTTCGCCCTTTCTTAGTTGGGGACTTGCCCATTTTCAGGTAAAATAATTCTTAGTTCGCACCGTGAAATAAATTCTTACCTGCTCCCTTCTTATATTCTATTTTTATGTATGAGAGAGTATTAAAATAATAAAGCGTTCGTTATCCATAGGCGTATCACTTTTTTAGTAGACAGTTAAAATATTTTTTGAAGTTATTTTTCGAGTATACACTTATATTTTCACCTAATTAACCTGCTTATAACTTCTAAACAGCTGAAGGTAAAAAAAGTGCAATTTTTTCTAAAATGTTTTATTTTTTCACAAGGTATGTTAAGATCATTGTGTCAAACGGGTTATGTAGGTATAAGAATTTAAACTTTGACTTTTAAACAATGATACGTTCATAAATAATAATTTTAATATAAAAACTACTTCTTACCTACAAATCCAAATCAGAATCGAAATCAGAAGATGAACTGTCACAACCAATATTTACAATGAGTGGCTCGATCATTTCATCAGTAATATTGTCCAACTTCCACATTTTCTCTTCTTCTTTAATCGTATGATTTACTGCCTTTTCCCAGTTTTCAGGCTTCACATTATTTACAGCCTCCAAAAACAACTGTTTAACATCACTCATTTTAAAAGAATTATTTTTTCTTGAAACTTCTCCCTTTATCTGTGCCCATATCAGTTCAATCGGGTTTACTTCGCAATGATATGGTGGTGATCTAACCACCGTCATCCCACGATTTTTTGCAATTTCATCAATTTCGTATTTTTTGAATTTCTCTTTATGAAGGGAACACAAATGATACAGTTCTTTTCTCACAGAACCGGGATGAAACTTAATATTCTTTGAATTTAGCCAATTCTGTAAATCTTTTTTTAACCACTTGGTTGTGGGCATTTTTTCTATAAGTCTCGAGTGATAACTTGCATTATCCTTTACTATTATACAGTTTTGAGGAAGAAGATCTATAATTTGTTCGAACCACTCTTTAAAGACATCAACAATTATGTCCTCATGGTTGTCACCAATACGAGTAGATTCAAAAGTCAATAAACCACCTTTAACAAAACCGTTTGAACTACCGATGTGTACTATTATTAGTCTGCGCCCCTTTCCTGTTGGTGGATTTAGACCAGTAGATAAATTATTTAAAAAAGCCTGTCTTCGACTTGTAACAGTTTCATCTTGCCAAAATTTATTTGGTTTATGTCCCTCGTTGATCCATGTTTCATCTAAATAAAATATATTTCTTCTTTGGTTTCTCATTTCTTTTATAGTCCTTAGGTAATTTCTTCTCCATACTACAATATCGCGCTTCTTTCTATTAAAATAGACTCTCTGGAATGCTTTTTCCATAGAAAACCTATTTCTTTTAAAAGTTTCCATAGTGTGCTTCGACTCATTTTAGGGTAATCCTTATCATCTCGAACCGTGGCAAGAACTTTGTCTACTGTCGTAAATTATTTTCTAGAGAAGAACGTATGCACTTTCCTTCGAAGTCTTTCTTTCAAAAGATTTTCTAATTGAAATTTTGGTTTTTCTGGAGCTTTACGTGCTGTTTGAAACTCGCCACATTTCTCTTCTTTAACAACTCTGTAAATCGTAGATTTCTTAAGACCAAGCGTACTACTAACTAATTCCACTGTGTCATCAACATTTTTACATAAATGTTTGTCTGTAAATGACTTAAAACAATTAAATATTAATGTTTTTTCATTAACTGTTAAAGGACCGATTTTTTGTCGTTTACGCGGCCCTTCCAAATTTTCCATGATCACACTAGAATTCTCACTGCACCTTGCAAGTTGCAACTAAACGACATTTAGTAAACTGTCAAGAATACACAACTTGGACCTCCTTACTAAATGGAAAACCTATAATCGCATTTTCGGTGAAATTTGTTGGGAAGGTATTTATCTACTTATAATTCGATTACTATAAGAAATTCTTGGAATTAAAATAAAACAAAATTGGCAAATAGGTACTTATTGAAAATAATCTTAAGATACGGCTATGTAATCTTTAATACACAGAGCTTTTGGCTTGTACAAACCTTTTTCTATTGATCTGTACAGCTTATGTTTATAAAGGGCCAATAAAAGACCCAAAACTTGTAATAGCTCAGGTACATTTATTACAATTTTAGGAAATATTTAGATTATTCTGTAAAAATATTTAAAATGACCGTACTTAGTTTTGCATTAGAAATGCTGTTTTATTACTCTCTCATACATAAAAATAGACTATAGTTAGGGCCTTTTATCAGATAAAATTATTCACCTGCTATTATTGCAATATGTAGTCATTTCTTGCCAATTTTTTCTTTTTAATAAAACTAAATTTTTTAAGTAATTATATATATATTTGGCACCTTACATTTATACAATATATGATAAATTTCTTAAACGTATGCCGATACTAATTTGATTATGCATATAATCACTGTCTTTTTTATTCTTTCATCTAAAAATATATATTTTCTGACTATCTGAAAAACTGACTTAAAAACCAATTTTATTACAAGGAATAATTTATGTTGCAAAATTGATACCATGTTATATTTTGTGGCTTTTCGTGACAACTTATAAAATTATTAAATTACAGGATCCTCGTTCATAGGCGGTAATTTGTACCTATTTTACAAGATAAAAAAATTAAGTCGACAGTGTCCTTAGTGGTCTTTTTTATAAACAACCAGTTCTTATAGTTCATTAGACTATTTTTCTGGTGATATTTTTTTTTGTTCATAAAAATATTAGTTCTGTTTTAAAAGTTTTGTTAATTAAGGAAAAATAACTAATAACGTGTAATTTATAGAATTTTTACTTCGAATCAAAAATATATAAATAAATAAGTAAATAAATAACTAAAACAAATAAATAAATAAAAAATAAATACAAAATAAATAAATAAAAAATAAATACAAAATAAATAAATAAAAAATAAATACAAAATAAATAAATAAATAAATATTATTTAGTTGGTTTATAAAATTCTAAAAGGGAGATTATTTAGTAGTAAGTATGCTTTTAAATTATATAAATATTTATATCAGATTAATTATAAACATTAGATTATATGTATTAACAAATATTAAACCTAATTGCAGAATAAACACTTATTGATAATTATTTTTATTTGAATAAGACTAGATAAAAACTTTAAAAATAATTTAGTCACGCTTTAAATTAATTTCGATGAATTTACAGTATAAATTAATAACTACAATAAATAATTTGTTTTTGCTATCATAAGCGAACATATCTATGACGAGACAAATAGGTAGATACATCAGATTCAAAATTATATAGTTTTGTGCACTTACGAGTGGCAGATGGTGACAGTGACAGCTAGCAGAAAAGTTAAGATAGAATTAACGTTTGTGACAACTTTGTTTGCTTGGTGATTGATTTCTTGGTCTGTGAAGCAGTACAGTTTTCGGTTATATATTGTTTGGATGCCTTTGAGTAGAAGAAGGACTGTTCTATTATGGGACTACCTAACATTTAAACATCATACATAGACTGAATAAGTATGGCGGTTGGATTCCCAAATGGTGTCACGCCTGAACCTTAGAAGTCTGTTCTGACTGGTGATAAGAAAACTAAGATCCTAGAAGCATTACAGTATTAATATAAATATCAATTTAATTGACCTATACAAGGCAACACTGTGAGTCAGGTTGGTGATCTAAATACATAAATAGTATTACTACTTTTTGGGATTAAATAGAATTTACGGTAATTAATTACAGCTACTGTTGCCTCTACTGGATCTGATCTAATGAATCGGTATCCCACAATGAGGTAATAACTAGCAATTGCGTACTTTGGAATAAAAAACTCGCTAAAAAAGGGTTAGAACTATGTTTTAAGGAACCTGAACAATGTGCTTGGAATAAGTACAAATTTTGCTAGGTAGTAATAAAATTAGCAATCTTTATGTTTTAAAATAATAAATTCCTGATTTAAAATCGTTGTACGTTGAGGCAAAACGAAATAATATTAGGACGTCTCTGCAACGATCTACCAATTCGTCTGTATCCCACATTTTTATTTAAAACATCTAAATCAAAACTAAAATAATTGACTTATTTCTACCGTATTTGCTTTTCGATATCAGAATAATAACTACAATACGTAATTTTCCATGTTTGGAAAATTATCATATAAACTAGAAAAGTTATGTTTCATTATCTGTTAATAAAGCTTCAACTTTCTCTATAACTACAGTGTCATTTTTCTGTACTGACGATACAGTAACTACGCTAGCATCCGTTATAGATTCGATAGCTGAAGTAAGAGTTGCTAAAGTTGTTGTTGTTGTCGTCAGCGGTTTCAATGTAACAACCGGTTTAGTGGTATTAATTTCCGAGTACTCGCAGTTTCTACCGGAAGTTCCTTCTCTACATGAACATCTGTAACTTCCATCGTCTTTGGTTAATGATAAACATTTGGAGCCGTTCTTGCACGTGTCTGGATTATTTTCGCAGTAATTCAGTTCTGAAATATGAATAAAACGTTTAAATAAATTTGTAAAAGGATTAAAAAAAATATAATAATGATTATACAGTTGTTAAAAGATACTGGAGATTTAACAGATAGTATTTAATAGAACGCAACAAATAAATTATTGGTCACAATTAATGAAATTAGACTCAAAATACTAATAAAAAGAAAATATTATTCAGGATTTGATTTAATTACCAGGGACAGACTAAAACAGTACCCTAGGAAAGCCATAAATTAAGTGATCTATCTCCTTTATGTTGAAGTATGTAATAACGATATCTAAACCAGACAAACCAATAAATAAAGGCTTTTCTTATAGACCAATTTTTTTACTTTCTGTTATTTTAAAACTTTTTAAAAATACTCCTGTTTAGAGCTTGGATTGCTGGAAAACTTCATTATTATTACCTCTACCAAAGATAGGCCATTCGATCCTTAAAAAATTTACGACCTTACAGTTTAATACCTTTGCTTACCAAATTAATAGAAAGAGTAGTTTTTTTTTTATTTAAAAAAAATATATCGCATCAACTGCACAGAGTCATTAGCGACTTGTCAGGCATTACATTTTGTGAAAAATATGGATGTCTTTTAAGTATTGTTACGCAGCACCCTGCAGTAGCCTGCGACTATTATAGGAAACGTACAGATTGTAATAATTCTAGGTTCTTTTCCTTAATTTTAGCATTTGTAGAATAAAACATTTGATTAAGTTTATACCAGCCCTTTATTACATAATAAAATTATATACCTTTTTTACATGTGTATTATAAGGTTAATTAAATACTACTCAATAACTAACAGTCAAATATCGCTTCAATAGATCATTTGCTAGCTAAACAGAATTGGACACAATGAACTTTAGAATTAATGACATTGCATTATTTGTATTGGATAACAACTAATTATTATTTTAATAAAATGTAAAATATAATGAAATAACCTATTGAAGTTCATCGAACTGATATTCCTTTCTTATACCTCCCTGGGGGACGAGAAAAATTTTTAGAACAACTTTCTAAATTTTTTTATCTTTATTAAGTAATACATAAAACTACCTGAAAGAAATCAGTTCGATAGTTCTAACTAAAATGAAAGAAATAGCTGAGGCATACTGTAAGAGATGCTGTAATTACTGTGCCAGCCTGCTTTAATGATTCCCAAAGGCAAGCCACTATAGATGCAGGTGTTATTGCTGGTCTTAACGTATTAAGAATTGTAAATGAACCGACTGCAGCAGCTCCAGCTTATGGATTAGACAAGAACTTAAAAGATGAGAGAAATGTACTTATTTTTGACTTAGGAGGAGGTACTTTTGATGTATCCATTCTAACCATAGATGAAGGTTCTTTATTTGAAGTTAGGGCCACTGCAGGGGATACCCACCTAGGAGGAGAAGATTTTGATAACAGACTGGTTAATCATTTCTCTGACGAATTCAAGAGAAAATTTAAAAAAGATCTAAAGGGTAATCCACAAGCTTTGCGAAGATTAAGAACAGCTGCTAAAAGGGCAAAACGAATACTATCGTCTAGTTCTGAAGTTACAATTGAAATAGATGCTCTTTATGAAGGTATTGATTTCTATACAAATATTAGCAGAGCCCGATTTGAAGAATTATGCTCCGATTTATTTAGAGGGACTCTTCAGCCTGTCGAAAAAGCTTTAAATGATGCAAAGATGAATAAGGGACAAATTTCTGATGTAGTTTTGGTTGGAGGTTCAACGAGAATTCCGAAAATTTAACAACTTTTACAGAATTATTTCAGTGGAAAGTCTTTGAATCTGTCTATCAACCCAGATGAAGCTGAGGCTTATGGAGCAGCAGTTCAGGCAGCTGTCCTAAGTGGTGAAACTGATTCCAAGATTCAAGATATACTACTAGTTGACGTAACTACTTTATCATTGGGTATTGAAACAGCTGCTGGTGTGATGACAAAAATTATTGAACGAAATGCTAGAATCGCCATTGATATCCTCGGACTACTTCCCTTAACAGAAAGGGGAAACAAATACTTGATGGTTGTTATGGACTATTTTTCAAAGTGGCCCGAAATAGTGCCTATTCCTAATCAGGAAGCGACGACAGTAGCGGTAAGTTCTTCAAATTTATAGGGGTAGTTCTCCTGTTATACAATGCATGCTTTCGACAGGTATTGATCGGAATACACCAGTGATAATTCTCAAGGCACTGTTTTGGATTACATCGAGTTGTTTTAATATGTGTTTTTCCCTAAAGAATAGACTACAGCTCCGTAATTATTCTTTGATCTTATTAATGATTTGTATAAGTTCATTAAACTAGTGTAATCTGCCCCCCAATTATTGTTAGCTACTGTTTTAAGCAAGTTTAAATAATTTTTCTAGGTATAAGATGTGCTTTTCCCATGTGAGTTTTTTATCAAAGATCATTCCTAAGAAACGAATAGGTTTCTTGGATATGATTTTGAACAGACATGTTTTTTCCTTTTGCAAAAAGAACTAGGTCACCTGCGTAGTCTTCCTTTAATGTCATTTATTGCAATTAGAAATAATGTGGTGCTAATTGTCGATCCTTGTGGTATTCCATTTGCTTGAAGCTTTTTTGATGATAAAACATTGTCTGTGCGTACTTGAAAATATTTTGTTCCAAGAAAATTGTTTACAAAGTGTAATTCGTTTCCTCTGAGGCCCCATTTGTGCACGTCGTGCCGCCAAACTGTGTCATAAGCATTCGTTATGTCAATAAAGACTGAAATACATTCTTGTTTATTGGCAAAAGCCTCTAAGTCTATTAAATTATCAGCGGTACATCTATTTTGGCGGAAACCACTTTCCTCAGGAAGGAGTAATGTTTGTTGCTCTAAGTGCCACAGGAGTCTTCTATTTACCATTTTTTCCAGTTTTATTATACATAACATTGATTAAAGAGATCGGTTTGTATGATCCTGGTTTCGTTCTGGATTTCTCGGGTTTTAAGAGTGGTATTATTATGGCATCATGCCAGTTTGACACACAAAATAGAAAATCTTTAGTAATTGTTTTTTCACAATTCAGGATAATTTATGTAGAAAAATTCCAGGAATTTTATCGGAACCTGGAGCAGAATTCTTTGTCGCAGTTAGAGCGTCGTTCAATTCTTCTGTTGAGAAGATAAAGTTGATTGGGTTGTTTAAAGCATCGTTTTAATCTAATTGTTCTTGTTCTTTGAGGTTTGTTATTTCTAGAAAATTCTGAGTGTAGTTGCAATTGCCAGAGTTGGTTTTGTTCTGCTATGAATGGTTTTTTATTAGTGTGTTTGATTTCTGATATTTTCCTTAAGCTTTGTTAAACAGAAGATGTAGGTGTTGAACTATTTATGGATGAAACAAGGTTTGGCCATGATTCTTATAGATTTTTGGCATTCGTCGTTCCACCAAGGCAGAGGGGTATAATTTGGAATTATTTTAGTTACTCCAATATATTAGTTGGCTGCTTTTGTCAGAATGGATACAAATGAACTTACACTTTGGTTTATGTCTGTGAAGGTATTTCTATTGAATCACGGATTTCCGATTCTATTTCATACATAAACTGATCTCACTTGGCGCATTTTAGGTTCCATCTAGGTGTTGGCAGATATGTGTTGTTTGAAAATGGTGATGGAAAAGATATTTTAATTGGGAAATGGTTACTTCGGAATAAGCATGGAATTGCATCCCAAGTCAGTAGTGGTATTTTCGGCGGTATTTTCTAAGAGAAAATAGAGCGATTTCATTAAGACGAAATACTCATGTAACTTTGTCTTAACGCAATGTTTGAATTAACCAAATAGATGTTCGCTATTATTGTATAAATATAGATCATTAGGAAATCGAGTGATTCTTGATAATTTTTCTCTTTTTATTAGATAAGAATGTGTGTTATCCCTTCTAAATACTTTTGTACTAATTAATATAAATATAGATTATTAGGCAGTCGAGAGATTCTTGATGATTTTTCTGTTTTTATGGACTTATTCAGATAAGAATGTGTGTTATCCCTTCTAAATATTTTTCTACTAATTCTATGTAAAAAAAATATTTTGCTGTATTTTCTAAGAGGAAATCGAGCGATTTCATTGAGACGAAATACTTATTTAACTTTGTCTTAACTCTACTGTTTGGATTAAGCAAATTAGACCTTCATTATTTTTGCATGAATATATATCATTAGAAAGTCGGACATTTCTTGATGATATTAGTTTTTTTATTTGCATTTATACAGGGAAGAACGTGCTCGGAAAATTACAATTAATCTTCCTTAAGGTAAGTCGATTAATTTTTTAATTTTGTTAACTATTGTAACAATAATATCACAAAATCTGTTTCGGAGGAATAAAATCATGATTTTCGTAATTTATCAGAACCGAACTCTCCTCTATTTATATATGAACTCAGAAAGAGTAGTGAATCAGTAAATATTTGCTTGTGACAAGAAAGATTATGTCATGTCGACCACAAACAGGATTTCAGAAAGGTCTCAGCAGAACTGCTACCTCAGCTTACTTGAGTGAATTTATTATAAGAAAAATCGACGAAAAAATGTTAAAATTGTGTCCTGTTAAAACCGCTTTTCCAGAATTTGATATAGTTTTCTCCAAATATGAAAAATAAGAAACTTGTTAAAATAATCGAAACTAAATCAAATTTTGAAAAAGTAGTTCCAAAGAAATAATAATTTTATTTCCTCTGACACTCTTTTTAATTACAATTTCTTTTATTTGCTTCATAAACTTTTTCTTCTTTAACAAAGCCTCACTGACTAATATTTGCATACATTTTAGTCCTTTATCTTTTTTAATAACGTCTTGTTTCTTTAAAATTGTATGCTCTTTTCAATATATTAATTGAACTTTTACGATTTAATTTAAGAATATTATTGACTGATTTTTCACCCAGTTGTTCCTCGAAACCATCACATTAATACTACTCCAAAATTCCAACGAAACTCTCAATACTTCTGTTTTTCCAGTACTTTATTTATACTCATGT